CAACAATAGACCTCTAATACAAAATACTACCCTAACAACTATATACCCCCAGCAGCAACAACAGATCTCCCAGCAGCCAGCATCAACCAACAATAGACTCCTACCTCAACAGTAGATGCCTTCCAGCAACAATTGACCCCCATCAACAAAAGACCCCCCCCCAGCAACAATACCCACCACACAAAAATAGATCCCCTTCAGCAACAATAGTTCCCTCAGCAGCCAGCAACAATAGATCCTCCAGCACACCCCAGCACCCCTTCCCATTACCTACATTCAGTGTTGGAGGTGGCAAAACTGCGTTCACCCTGAAATAAAAACCCTTCCTAAGTTGCACTGTGCGTGGTACACAAATACTGCAAGTGGCCACATTGTTCTAAAGAAATTGGACGTGGCCTAAAGGGCATGGTTATATAGAGCCTGAGGCTACTTGCTGCATACACTGCACATTTTGTTACATACCTTGCATCCATGGAATGCTAGTGATAGTCTCACCGACACACATAAACCTCAGGACAAAGGTTTTCTTTTTAAAAATGTAAATCTTACAGTACAAATGGAAGCTGCTATCCCTGTTATGATGATGCAAAGGCTTCAGCACTATTTCAGCCACTGACCAAAAACAAGATTGATTTTGCTCTGACTTTTCTTTCTTTCTGCATGCACTAAGCTTTGTGACTAATCCCAGATAGGCACTGAACCACCATTATAGCAGGTCCTCAGTGGCAGCCTTTATATATCTTTCAGTACAGGCTTCCGTTAATATAAGTAAGTATCACATGCATCTGATGGAGTGTAACTTTCCTAGTCTTTTTTCCCTCAGTTTTACATACCAAGCCATAAAAAAATTAAGAATCTAGGTCCACAGGCTTCAGCATTTGTTGCCTTTCCACAAACCCAGACTTGAATGTACTTGTGTGCATGACCTAGAAGATTTTTTTTGAGTTATAGTATATATATATATATTTTTTTTTTTCTTTTTTAGAAATCTCAGTCACTGATGCAGGGAATCTCCTTTATGGCGGTAAGATCTTGAGACCTGTTGTACTTTATAAACCTAATGTTTATCATATACTAAATAAAGCGCCACTTACGATTCATTATATGGAGGTGGAGTTAGTCAGTGAAGCAAAGTGGCATGGTGTTCACACAGAAGTGCAGTTTCTACTGCCCTCTGAAAAGCAATTTATTGTAAATTGCTTTTCAGAGGATGATAGAATGACTGTTTCCAGCCATGCAGGAGGAATTAGTGTCTCAGTTGAACTGGTGAGCAGGATCTCTTTAATGCAGGCAGCACATGGTTCGAATTCTGAACGATTTTTTGTTCCGAAAATCAAAAACTTTGAACTTCTGTTCCTTCCAGGTCATGGCTCATGCACATATTCTTTTCGGAAAAACGATCGTACGATTTGACCATCATTGAGTCGAAAATCGGTAGTTTTTTATGAATTTTCCAACATGTCCAATCATTGAAAAGGGGAGGAACCAGGAAAAATCGGCCGGTGCCTTTGACCCACTAACAGAGCGAAAATCGGACGATTATTCTTAGGTCCGATTTGCGGACGAAAAATCGGTCGAATTTTGACCCATGTATGGACAGCCTTAAGAATCTATTGTTGCCATAGCATAGTTTCCAAAACTGGTGCAAATGCTTGCCTGAATTAGATGCAGGCATCATTACCACTTTCGTGAATTCCTCTAAATGTATTTAGCCTGACAACAAAAATGAATGCAGCCACCACATCTAAGGATTTGTTATCTGAAATATATAAAAACATGTTGTCCTTGGGGGTAGTAACACTTTAATTAATATGCCAACTCTTAGGAAAGCAAATAGGTGTCATCAGTGGCAGACTGAACATTCGAGCACTCGGGCACTGCCCGAGGGCCCGGGGTCAGTAGGGGGCTCCATGAGATGCCCCTGGTACCTTTTTATAGGCTACTTTGAGTGTGGGCAAGGACACAGGGGTCCCATGATCCCCTATTGCCTGGGGGCCCTATGAGTTGTCAGTCCGCCCCTGGGTGTCATTGGTTTAAATTCCTCCACACCCCCCACATAGCACCTCTTTCTTCCACCATGCGTTTGGAACTTTCTTGTGGATTCATACTGAGAATGTGATAACTATTGAACAATACTATTCTTTTCTAGAGATTGGTACAGATGTCCTTATATTCACATGCACTACATGTATGAGACATTTGCACTGAGTTTTATTATCTTTATATTTGGACAATCCAGAAATATGAATATTTGTTTCCAGGGAATGGGGATACAATTTTGTTTTTTTTTGTCTTGTGTGGCATCATTTGTGATCATAGCAATGTTGGAACTAACAGTAACAAATACAATATTAAATTAACTGATGTTACTGGGCCTTTAATAATTATTGTTCTTACATTTTCCCTCTGCCCCTTAATTACTCTTCATTTTAGAAGTACATTAGTGTTCTACGTACTGCACCATTTCAATGTCCCTGGATTTTTAATAGAAATGATAACAGATAACAGCTGATTTAAGAAGTCAGTTATGCCATTCACAACATTTTAGCAAAAGGATTTTTGGTTTGTTTTGGTCCATGTCATCATAAGCAGACTAATTACACATCTATATATGACTGCACAAAAAAACTTTTTAAAACATTGACCTGCAGTGCCCCCAAATGGACAGTTAATGTAGCACAATAATGTAAAAAAAAACAAACGAACAAAAATAAAAATTGATCCCACATTTTAGAAAGGTACTGGATTGCATAATTTGTTTTTAATACATTCTTTATTTGTAAGAACCGGTTTTACATAAACTGCGACAGGTGAAGGAAGTATATAGAAAAAAACAAGTACATCATGGGCAGGCAAAATACATTGAACACACTATGTATAAACAGGAAATTGTAAAGAATGGAGTTCAATATAACAAGTAGGAGCAGCATGAAATTAGCACAGTGTTTTCATAAAACTTACAATGGAAAAGACGCAACAAGAAATGATTTCCTATATGCCAGATCAGACTGTAGTTTGAGAAAAAAAATTAAACAATTAAATTGAATGACGCTCCACCTCTGCCACCCCCCTCTGCCTCTCCCTCCACTGGCTCCCGATTGCCCAATGCATCAAATATAAACTTCTAACCCTGACCTACAAAGCCGTTCACAACACTGCCCCTGACTACCTCACCAACCTGATCCGCAAGTACCGCCCTACCCGTACCCTTCGCTCCTCACAGGACCTCCTTCTATCCTGCTCCCTGGTCTCCTCCCATGCACGACTGCAAGACTTCTCCAGGTCCTCCCCCATCCTCTGGAACTCACTGCCCCAATCCGTCAGACTGTCGCCTTCTCTCCTCACATTCAGGCGCTCCCTCAAAACCCATCTCTTCAGGGAAGCCTACCCCGCCCTCACCTAACGGCCATTCTCCCTCACTCCTCCCACCATTTCATTCCCCTCAGCCACTTCCTACTGTACCACTACCCCCTCCCTCCTAGATTGTAAGCTCGAAAGAGTAGGGCCCTCTTACCCCTCGTACGTTGTTTGTTATTGTTGTACTGTGCCATGTATTGTCCCCCCTATATTGTACAGCGCTGAGCAAACCCTTTGGCGCTATATAAACTCGATGTAATAATAATAATAATTTAGGGCCATACCAAAACATGCTAAATGTACTAATTTGTCTGCTAACCAAACACATCAAAATTATTTGTTATGTTCTTGGCCACATCCTCAAATTCACCAATTTCTCATTTGTCCCTTATTTTAGTCCGATGTACAGTATATACCTACATAAAAATGTGCAATTTACCTGTCAAAGAGTGTTTATCAGTGCTAAACCTTGCATCCAGTTTTTAATTGTTCCATTAAAGTCAGTATAAAATATCAGTAGTTGGTTGAACCAAACATTTTTTGTGTGTTCTTTGTGTGACGGGGGGTGGTAGGGCTGTGTCCTTTGCCTACATGCATTTTGTTGATAGATGTCCATCTTTCCCATCTCAAAAAGTTGGGAGGTATGCATCCATAATTCAAAAAAAAAAAAAGAAAGACAAACAGTTGGTATACATGTAAAAATTGCCACCACTGATGTTAGGCTAGTATTTGAAAATATAGTATTAACACAGCAGTATGGGTAAGAGGATCATGGCTTTACTTGGTGCTTCAAAGGCTTTAAATGAGTGATAACACTCAATGCATGCATATGTTGTGGAGTTGCCATAAAATTGGTTTCATGCTACAGTAGATGCATCTTCCAAAGGTAGTGTAGGTGCCAATGTAACAGATAATATGGTGCAGATGTCTTGTCCTCTTAGCTTTAGTAGTCTGTCGATCTGCCCATTCTTTACTTCATCCTATTGCCCATGTACCTATAGCTATCAGGCTGAATAAAAACCTGTGTGTTTGCCCTTGGTACCAGTTTAAAAACAGCAAAAGCTTTATAGAAGTGTAAAGCGGAAAGGATCGCTGCTACTCCCAACCAGCCCAGGTGAGTAAACGATAAGGAGCAGCCTCAGCCCCTAGGGTGTGTGTTGTGGTGAAGACACGTAGGTTGAGATCACTCCTTACCGTTTATTCACCTGGGCTGGTTGGGAGTAGTGGCGATCCTTTCCTCTTTACACTTACTAGCCCTCTAGATTGGTATCAGGACAAGCCTGATACCAATCTGTTCTGGGGCACAGGGATATGCTTTCACCTTAACTTTGAGCGGTGACAAAAGCAATATAACAGGTCACAGCTTTAGAGAATAATTTTAATTTTGTAAAGTTAATTCAGTATTGTGGAAAAAGCATTAAGAGGAGCAGGGATTTCACCACTGAAATCCCAATTGGATATGAGAAGTAACCTGGTAATTTAGCTCATTAGACTTCCCCTTTAAGTGAAATATTTTTAAGTGGTCTGAAGCTTTAAGCTGACATTTTATCCCAATTTGTAGAATAGGCTACAGTAAGACACATTTTGAAAATACCTATTTTATTGTATTCTGAACAGACTGCGGTGTTGGAGGTCCTGAGGCATCAAGTAGGATAGTAGGAGGGAGTCCGGCACCTTCAGGATCATGGCCCTGGCAGGCCAGTCTACGTTTACATGGGCAGCACAAGTGTGGAGCCACTCTCATCAGCAACACTTGGCTAATTTCTGCTGCTCACTGCTTTGAACTGTAAGTGATAGTCTGTGTGACAAAACTGAAGGTTTTACTCTTACTTTTTGCTCTCCTCATTTGTGCTAACTTTAACAGGTCTAATGCATCTCCATCTAAGTGGCTGATTGGATAGCACTTCCACATAGCAGTACTAGGGTCTTTAGTTTGAATCCCAACCACAGCACCACCTGCCTGGAGTTTGCATATTGTGCCTGTGTGGGTTTTCTTCGGGTACTCCAGCTTCCTCCCACACTCCAAACACATGCTGGTAGGTTAATAGGCTCCTGTCTAAATTGGCCCTAGTATGTGTTTGAATGTGAGTTAGGGACCTTAGATTGTAAGCTCCTTGAAGGCAGGGACTTATGTGAATGTACAATATACAGTGAAGGAAATAAGTATTTGATCCCCTGCTCATTTTGAATATTTGCTCACTCACAAAGAAATAATCAGTCTAAAAATCGAATGGTAGGTGTATTGTAACACTGAGAGACAGAACAGCAACAGAAGATTCAAAAGAAATGCATGTCTAACAAATTATGCTCTGATTTGCATGTTCATGAGGGAAATAAGTATTTGATCCCCTTCACAAAACATGACTTAGTACTTGGTGTCAAATCCCTTGTTGGCAATCACAGAGGTCAGACGTTTCCTGTAGTTGGCCACCAGGTTTACATACATCTGAGGAGCAGGGGTGGACTGACCATTTGGAAACTCGGGCCCTGCCCGGGCCCCGGGTCAGTAGGGGGCCCCATGAGATGCTCCTGGTACCTTTTTCATAGGCTTTTTTGAGTTTGGGCAAGGACACAGGGGCCCCATGATCCCCTATTGCCCTGGGGCCCCATGAGTTGTCAGTCTGCCTGCTCAGGAGGGATTTTGGCACACTCCTCTTGGCAGATCCTCTCCAAGTCATTAAGGTTTGGTGGATGATGTTTGGCAACTCAAACTTTCAGCTCCCTCCACAGATTTTTAATCGGATTAAGGTCTGGAGACTGGCTAGGCTACTCCAGGACTTTAATGTGCTTCTTCTTGTGCCACTCCTGTGTTGCCTTGGCCGTGTGTTTTGGGTCATTGTCATGCTGGAACACCCATCCACGACCCATTCTCAATGCCCCGGCTGAGGGAAGAAGGTTCTCACCCAAGATTTGACAGTACACTGCCCCGTCCATCGTCCCTTTGATGTGGTGCAGTTGTCCTGTCCCCTTAGCAGAAAAACAACCCCAAAGCAGAATGTTTCCACCACCATGTTTGACAGTTGGGATGGTGTTCTTGGGGTCATAGGCAACATTCCTCCTCCACCAATCATGGCAAGTTGAGTTGATGCCAAAGAGCTCGATTTTGGTCTCATCTGACCACAACACTTTCAACCAGTCCTCTTCTGCATCATTCAGATGTTCAGTGGCAAACTTCAGACGGGCCTGGACATGTGCTTTCTTGAGCAGAGGGACCTTGCGGGCACTGCTGGATTTCAGTCCTTGTCAGCGTAGTGTGTTACCAATTGTTTTCTTGGTGACTGTGGTCCTAGCTGCCTGGAGATCATTGACAAGATCCTCACGTGTAGTTCTCGGATGATCCCTCACTGTTCTCATGATCATTGACACTCCACGAGGTGAGATCTTGCATGGTTTACCTGGCTTAGGGAGACTGGCAGTTGTTTTGTGTTTCTTCCATTTGCGAATGATTGCACCAACTGTTGTCACCTTCTCACCAAGCTGCTTGGCGATAGTTTGGTAGCCCAGTCCAGCCTTGTGTAGGTCTACAATCTTGTCCCTGACATCCTTGGACAGCTCTTTGGTCTTTGCCATGGTAGAGAGTTTGGAATCTGATTGATTGCTTCTGTGGACAGGTGTCTTTTATACAGGTAACAAAATGAGATTAAGATTAAGAGACTGCTTCTAATCTCAGTTTGTTACCTGTATGAAAGACACCTGGTAGCCAGAAATCCTGCTGAATGATATAAGAACATCAGTAACAGTTATACAATCTCAATTTTTATACTTACAAAAAAGTTATTTGGTTAATGTTGATCAGAACAGTCATAAAAATACTAGCGTTCAAGATGGGACTGCATGGTCCAACATTCAATGGTGTAAGCTATCAGAGGGGCAAGAGTGGTCAAATATCCATCTCTGATCAACATTAATCATTTAACTTTTTTGTAAGTAGGAAAATAGAGATTGTATAATTGTTATTGATGTTCTTATACACAAATTATTACTAATCTCAAATATGTTTATTCAGAGATCCCTCTTGCTCTTATGCCACCTGAAGAAGATCTAAAATTGAAATGGTCAAAATGCATCAAGGTTATTTTGGGAATGTTGTATTGTTGCAATCTTACAAAAGGAAAATATCCCTGAAATAGTCATCAGAGCCAGTGTGTTTTTAAATGTAATGTGTTTTTTATTAACATTTGTGTACAATAAAGTATATGAGTAATAAAAAGTTTGGTATGTGACGGTATGTCCGCTGCATTAAAGTCCCATAGGGGGTTATTTCTGTTTACATTCAGCTAAGCCTTAGATTTTTTTGGTCCAAAATCAGGGGTGCTCTTAGCTACTTGTGATGTGGCTCTTACTGAGCCTCTTCAGTGTCTACCTGGAATGTCTGCTGCATTATTTACACTCCACAAACATGAAGCCAGAGGTTCCTCAGTTATATTTTAGTCAAATATTCAACATCACATTGTTCTTACTTAATTTGACTAATTGAAGCTTATATTTCTAGAGTTAAACATCGTTAACATTCTCTTTAAAAATCTCAAATATGAGGGTATATTTGCTTAATATGTACATGTCAGCTTACGGTTTCAAATGTCTGTGTCTTTTCTCTCTGCAGAAGTACTGATGTGAATTCATGGACAGCAGTGTTGGGTTCTTTGTCATCAAGCCCCGGATTTGGGTTAAAGTTCCGGAGGATCATAGTATATGACTCTTTTAGTTTTGGAGATAGTGAAAACGACATTGCACTTCTCGAGTTGTCTGCTCCGGTCAATTTTCAACAAAACATCCGTACTGCATGTCTACCAAAGGCATCTGATAACTTTCCTGATGGTTCATCCTGCTATGTCACCGGGTGGGGAGCACTTGAATTTAATGGTTAGTAACATGTCATGTATATCAGCATATTGCAGCGAGCACTTGTTTTAAAAAAAAATCTGAAGAATATATATTAAAAAATATATATTTTTAAAAATATTTATTTTTAAATATATTCTTCAGATTTTTTTTAACATGTAAAAAAGTCATTTTAACATATATTTTTACACATATTTGTAAATGCATTCCAAAAATGTAGATTTGTATTTTTAAAGACATACAGTATATTTGAAATGTATTTTTAAAAATATTTTTCATATATTTTGTAATAATGCAGTATATATATATATATATATATATATATATATATATATATATATATAAAAATATAGTAATATATTGAATATGGACAAAATTTTAGCTTTTCAAATATATGGCAATATATTTGGGAAGAATATTTTAAAAATATATTTCAAATATAGGTAAACTGTTCCTAGTATGTGTATGTATGCATAAGTTGGGGCCTTGGATTGTAAGCTCCTTGAGAGTTATGTGAATCTAAAATAAAACACTGATTGGTGCTATATGAACACCTGTAACAAATAAATAGGTACCTTAAACTGCCAGCACTCAAATTGACAGAGGGAAAGACAGCTAGTTAGACTCTGTTACATACCCATGTCCTGACAGGGAGCATGCAGAGGAACCACTGACAAATCCATGTGTTGGGGAGACAACACCGCTGTATTCCATAGTGCTCATAGAGAAAGTGGTGTCACCCTCTTAGATGTGCAATGTGCCAAAGGTGTATGGATCATAAAAGTAACCAGACCAAACTTTAAATCCCTTAGCAGATAAAACAAATTACATATACATTTCTGCTGTGTATTTAGCAGTTTGCCTGGAATTCAGCTTTAAGGCCTGGTTCACACCTAAGCATTTTTTAGTGCTTTTGTGTTTTGCAGAAACTCACTACAGTCCATTTAACATGGGACAAGTTAACATCTATGCATTTTTAGCTGCCATATTTTTGGATAGGGTCAGGGACTATTTTTCTTACAGCAGAATGCAACATGCATAGGTAATTCAGTCCTAAGCACAAGATATACCACCCAACCATACTAGGTTTAGTGAACAGTTTTTGTGAAGAAGAACGTTGGCTTATTGCGTTGGCTTATGTGAAGAAAAACATTGGCTTATTGGAGCCAAATGAAAGATGTAGTTTTAGGAGAATATATGAAATTAGTAGATAATTAAGGCTTATCTTTACAGTGAAACATACACAGGCACATTTAAATAAACCCATCACACACCTGGCAATGTCCACAGTGAGGACATGTGAAAAGGTGTGTAAGCAGTGGCACCCTTTAGTGAAAAATCACATGTCAGAACAGTAGTTCTATAGCTATTAGCAGCTGACGTTACAGTAAATTAAAATCCAAAAATGTCTTGTAAATGCTGAGCTTGCTTGGCCTATTCAAATATCCAAAAAGTCTGGTTGACCTTGCTCCTTCCCACCACCAAAAGTCCCATTTGATCCTTCAATTTCATGTGTAATCACTAACCAATGAGCAGGCTTGATGGCAGGAAGGGGCAAGGCCAAACAATGTTATGGATTGTCTGGGTTTCCTTATGGATTTTTTATGGATTGTCCACGTTTTTTATATAGATTGTCCAGGTAGTAACATTGCTATATAAAATTCAACTCATTGTCTAAGCTTACTCAGTCACCATCCTTGTATAGATGGGATGTCATCTATGAGATGCTGGCTTTCTATTAGGACCTGGATCAACCATTCAGAAAATAAAGTTGTGCGATTCATATTAATTCCAGAGAGATAAATTCAGTAATTCTCTGCTCCTGCACTAAAAACAATACTATATAGACACCCACCACATGTTAAAGTACAGAGCTCTGGAACAGCTTGTTTTTGTTAAATTATCAAAAACTAAAAGTAAAAGGGGCATAAGAGGGGTATAGTGCAGGCTGGGGACTGGCCAGTGTGGCCACAGTGCAGTTTTGAGTGGGAAGGGGCTTTGCACTTGCACCCCACCCTGGAAGGACAACGTATGCACTTTCCTGTCAACAACACTGCCTTTTTTATACTCAGGACTAGGGAAATATGTAGTTTTTGTACACACTTGTGTCCTACTCCTAAATCAAGTGGTACAGTGCATTTATCCTTATGTACACAGCAATGCAGCACTAGTTCAAACAGTACTGCATAGCAGATTTATAACAATTATTTACATTTACAGGCCCTAAGCCACGAGTTCTACAACAAGCTGAAGTGAAGATAATCAATCCAGATGTGTGTGCTAGTCCCCAAATGTATGGAAATAAAATACAACCAGCAATGCTATGTGCTGGATATGTGGAGGGAAAAATTGATGCTTGCCAGGTGAGCTAAGAGAGTATTAATGTCTGGAATGTGTTACATCTAAATAATGTTTCAATTTCTAATTCATGCATTAGTGGAGTATTGAACTGTGACTGCATTTTGTTAGTGCAAAAAAAAAAATTCAAAGTGATATCCTTTTTAGCTAGCTTAAGTTATTAAAGATATAAGATATATAAAACCTGAACAAGGGATCCAAAGCATCCTGAAAGCTTGCATCTTTAATAACGTAACGTGATATTAAAGTCTCACATTTTTAATTAAATAATACATATGTTTTACTTACCTGCGCTCTGTGCAAGAATGTTGTACAGGACAGTCCCTTACTTGTTTTTCAGTCTCCCCACTGGCGCTGTTGGCTCCTCAGCCCCCACAGCTAGCCTGGCCTTGTATCCCCATGCCCTATTTACAGGATTTGACTGACAGCAGCAAGACCCAATGGCTCCTGCTGTTCTAGGAAACTCCTGTAAGAAGAGAAAGAGAGGGGAGAAGAACTGCAGCCAGGCACAGCGCTGGATCAATAGAGGACTCAGGTAAGTGTTTAGGAATGAAGAGGAATAGCTAGTGGAAGGTTTTTTACCTTAATTAAGAAAATGCATTAAGGTTAAAAAACCTTTTGCATTTAAAATTACTTTGTTAGCCAGCAAAGGGATAACCTAAATTCCAAACTTTCTCCACTAATTAATTTATGTACGTTGTAAAAAGTATTTTTTTTAGCAGGCACTCATAGATAGATTTTCTTAATGTGTTCTTACATATGTGTATATAGAAAACCTTCAGCGCAATAAAGTATCCTAAAAAAAGTGTGCAGCTAGCATGTAATATGTTCCCAAATGTAACAAAGTAAATGAAATGAAGAAATGCAGCGCAACAATATCTAAATAAATATAATGGTGCTTACAATCTAATACATGCGTGTATAAATAGTGAAACCAGCCTGCTGTGCTTTTGAAGATCAATATATACTATTCAAGATGTCTCCAATGTATACATATAAACACCCATAGAGACTGTACATAACCAGTGCTATAAATAAATAGTGCACACAAATACAAAACAAACAATCCTAAATGGTGATCTGTCCCTTTAAATCCTAAATACCATCACTTGGACCTGTGTGGTACACTTCCTGTGTATCCTGATCAGAATACACCAACAAAAAGTGTCAACTGAGTATAGTCTCAATAATGGTGGACTGTCCCCTTAAATCCGCTGTACTTCAAGTGAACCAGTGTAAACACACTACTGCATAAACATATACGGTGCTCCTGTGTCACCCCATTGTGCTCTTCTACCAACACTTTATTGCGCTCACCTTCAGGTTTGACCTGTAATGACAGGTCAAACTACGCTTATCCCTTTAACCCGTGAGGGTATAATGGTACACAGATCTTCACCACCGTTTGCCAGCACTTTTAAGCAGATCCAGATCGCTTCATTTGCATGTGAAAAAAATGCTCAATATAGTGGAATATTTCTACTAAAAACAGCCTTTATTTAAAACAATCTAGTTCTACTCACATTAAAATGTGTCCTCCTGGGACACTACAGTGATAAAAAACTCACTATACAGTGTAAGGTGCCAAGTGTATACAGAAATCCCTCTTTCAAAATGGCGGCATGTGCACTTTCGGTTAACGGCCTAACGTCATCAGCGTACCCTACGCGTTACGTCACATCACGTGACTTCATCAGGAGTCTTACGTATATATTGGTTATTGTTATTGTGTACTTATTTGTGAAAAAGCATATGGAAAGTAAACAAAAAATCTGCTGTGGGGATCCCCTCATGGGGACCACAGCATTTGACTTCCTGCTACTCAAATGTATCAAGATAAGGTCAGACCAATATCTCCAACCAGTGGGAATAAACACCACCCAATAAAAAAAAAACGAATAAATATTATTGAATGCTATTGAAAAACTAATCAATAGATCAATATTTGATAGAATAAATAAATACAGTATATAAACGAATGAATGATGAATAAATAGGCAATGTGTGAGCAGATGAGTGGATAGTCCAATACTAATTAATAAAACACTACTCTGATTAAATGAGTGATATAGCCGGTGGACCAGGAGGGGGCACTCCATCTGTAGTGCAAACACGAAAGATAGAAACCAGGGCAAAGACTCCATAGTGTAGTGTATATAGAACAATATGCATTTATTGAGCTAATAAAAATGCTGATGAGAGTAACTCAGACTAGGCAGAATGGGGTGATCAAGGTAGAATCACGAAGGCCAACAACATAGTAAGGGACATGTAGTCTATATTACAGACAAAGAAAACAGGTGCCAAGTTTCATTATGAGAAGATCAACACTTGTCCGTGACCAAGAAGTGCGGATGCAATGGCTAGAACCTCCCCTTGTGTGATGTCACTCCTAATTCTGCCTTGATCACCATATTGTGCCTGGTCTGAGTTACTCCTTTGAGTGCATTTTTATTTGCTCAATAAATACTGTACATATGTGTTTTTTTTACATACTACACTTTAAAGTGTTTGCGCTGGTTTCTATTTTTCTTGTTTATATTTAATTTGTGTGTTACCTTCAGCATTACTTCAGACGCATTTTGTTTTTCTTCATAGCTATAATATACTGTATGGATAAGCCAATATTTGACATATTAAACTAATGCATTGCTCTTGTCTCACTCTAGGGTGATTCTGGTGGTCCTTTGGTCTCTATGCAAAATACAAAGTGGTTCCTTATTGGAGTTGTTAGTACTGGTTATGAGTGTGCATTACCTAACAAGCCTGGCATCTACACCAGAGTTACATCTCTGCGCAACTGGATTACTCAGAAGTCTGGATTGTAATGCCCAGAAAATGAGTGTGGTGTGCAGGAACTTGAACGGCCTAGAGAAAGTACTGGCCTGGGAAGACTGCTACAGGAGACATACAGTCAACCAGACATCATGTTGCTGACTAAAGCTGCTCATAGATGAATAAAAATTCAGCCGGCTCAGCAGAGATCGGCCAAATTTCATTCTACTGTACCACCTTGCTGAAAAACTTCCTCTCGATCAGCTCTGCAGGCTATGCTCTCACTTTAAGAGCAAGCTAAAAGTTTCAATTTGAGTTGTCACAGAACTGACAAATTACTGTTTTTCCACAGTTCAAAGTAAATATAATTCATATATATTAGACTTACATATAAGGTTTATAATCACAGTTTGTTCACATAGTTTATTTTAAAGGTTATTTTTGCATGGAGAAAATATATTTATAAAAATGGCATTTAGAACTTTGTGAGTCAAAGGAAACATCTGCTCATTCATTAGAATGTTTCATATATTTTCCTGTTATACAGGAATGTGCATAAGTCATTGTTTATTTGTAAATGTGACATGTATTTATTATTTTTTTAGACTTATGTGCAATAGTCATGTACGCAAGTACAGAAAAGAATTGCTGCCTATAATTACATATTATTATATTGTATTTTTATTTATTTTTCTGCAATATTTAATATATCAATTATTTTAGTAATCATATTCTGATTTAATAAAACTGAAAAGTTGTAAATACCACTCACTGTCTCTTTCTTGTAATAACAGTTGCGCCGGAGCTAGTGACAGGAGAGAAAACAACACAGAGCTCTCTTCTGGCAGCGACGATATGTGGGTTTTTGTCTCCCTGCGAAGCAGGGAATAAAAACCGGCACATCTCTAAGTAAAAACACCACACAGTAAACAAGTTACACTTGTTAGGCACACAGTTAACTCTTTGATTGCCCCTAGATGTTAACCCCTTCTCAGCCATTGCCGTTAGTACAGTGTAAAATTACAGTGTAAATTAATATACACTGTATAAAGTGTATATTATTAGCACTGATCACTGTATTAGTGTCACTGGTGATGTCAGTGGCAGTTAGTCAATTCCCACAAAATGTCAGTTAGTGTCAGATTGCCCGTCCTACTTTCACAGTGCTGCTATAAGTCTTTGATCACTACCATTACTAGTATAAAAATAAATAAATAAATAAATAAATAAAAATTCCAGTTTATATCCCATAATTTGTAGACGCTATAGCTTTCACACAAACCAATTATTGATATTTTTTTTACCAAAGACATGTAGCAGAATACATTTTGGCCTAAATTAATGAAGAAATTATTAGATTTTTTTAAATTTTTTATTGGATATGTTTTTATAGCAAAAAGTAAAAAATATTGCTTTTTTCATAATTTTGGTATTTTTTTGTTTATATAATAAAAAATAAAAAACCCAGTGGTGATTTAACACTACCAAAAAAAAAAGCTATTTGTGTGATAAAAAAAAAAGGTATACATTTCATTTGGGTACACAGTGTTGCATGACTGCACAATTGCACAGTTAATGTAGTGCAGCGCCAAATATAAAAAAATGGCCTGGTCATGATGGGGGTAAAATCTTCCGGAGGTCAAGTCGTTAATCACTCTTGCCAGTGGTAAATCGATGGTCTCATCCATGTAAGCTGTTCTGCTGGACAACTGGAATTGTGAAAAAACAATAGAGTTGCTGACTATATCACTGGATGAAAATGAAGAAAGAAAGCCAAAAAAAAGAGAACTAATGCACATCTAAGAATTGGAAATCTGCAATATATTGAATGTTTGCTTCTGTGTTTAATACTACTTTAAAGGCTAGGTCCACCTTTTAGAAAAAAATAATAAATGTACCCATATTTGCAGGAAAAAAATGTGCATTTTTATTTTTTTTCCATAGGAGCAAAGCACTGGACCCACAATCAGTGGATTGCAGGTGCAATGTCAGGTTGTTGCAGCCTCTCTCTTCAGCAATTTGTCCATACCGAGGAAGGGCTTTCTGTTGGAGAGCTGGAGGAAGTGTCAGATGACTATGAGTGTTGCGATTACCACGCTCATGTTCCATTAAGAACATCTGCCATAGGGGCAGATGGGACTTGTAGTTTATTCATTCACAGAAGTTTATGAATGATTAATACTGCTGTGCTGATGTGGCTGTAACATGGTGCAAAAGATGGAGTTACCTTTTTAAAGTAAATTCAGCCCATTATATATTAAAGTATATAATCTTTATCATGTTAATATAGTTTCAAAAGCCATTGTCAGCATTTAAATTTGCTACTTTCATTAAAATAACACCAGGTAACGCTGCCATAAAAGGTCCTTGTTCAGACATTTCCTGTTATGAGGTGACAACGCTGTTACTGTTCTCTGATTGTTTCACTGTGTTATCACCCTGTCAGCATTTCCACTGGAGGTAAATGGCTGTGCCAATGCTCATTACACAGCCATGTTCTTCTGCTGTCCCCATCAGGATGCCCACCTAGAGCAACGATATCTAGGTGTCACTAAATCAAGTGTATGTAGACAGTATGGGGTTTATTTACTAAAGCTGGAGAGTCCAAAATCAGACTCCCTTCTGCATAGAAACCAATCAGCTTCTAACCTCAGCTTGTTCAATGAAGCTTTGGCAATGAAACCTGGCAGCTGATTGGTTTCTATGCAGAAGGGAGTCTGATTTGGACTCTCCAGCTTTAGTAAATAAACCCCTATGGGACTAAAAAAAGACTGCAGAAGATAGGCACCCAGATGCAAAAAATTTTAAAAACAGCTAAAAAAAAAAAGGAAAATGTTTTTTTTTATGATACACCGGCATTATAAAACTAAACTTTCCACTTAGATCTTAGATAAAGGATTTCTATTTAGGGTTTCCATCTAATTTTACTTACAGTGGAAGAAAAGGCTAAACATATTGTGACTATTCATAAAAACGTTCCTACCTGTCCTGCATACTGTACATATATAAAAACTGTGTACTTACCTACCTTTAACCCATCCAGTCATATGATCCTGCAGCTCTGGCTTCTCTGTGTCAGTGAGTGACTACTGTACAGAAAGAGAAAGGAGCGCTGACAATGGAGGGGCCACGGGAGTCTGTAGGTGGCATCATGGCTCCAGGAATTCACAGCCTTTGTCAAGCTCTCCCTTACGAAGGGTAGCCAGAGCTTCAGGGTCACGTGACTGAACCAGGCTGCATTAAAAAGGTAAGTACACAGATGGTATTTAAGAATAGTAACATTAGGCTTTACTTCTACTTTAAAGTGGTTGTAAACCTCAGACATGAAATATGAAGAAAGCACATCCCTTTACAGTGTGTACTTTTCTCAATTAGGAGCCCTAAGTGTCATTTCCGTTTGCTGTTCTGTTCCTCTGCTATCTGCTTGAGTTACTTCTGACAAATTTTCCTGACACTAAGGCCCCATGTACACTTCTGAACCATTGCTAGAGCCCAGAGAACAGAGAGAGCGTAGAGTTATTCAACCCCAAAAAGAGACTGACATATGATGTCTTGGGTGAAAACTCTGAGGCAGTAGTACATGCTTCTCAAAAGAATCTCGTGACGCCTGGTTCTCCTACAGCAGTTTCGGTAGAGAACAGTCCCAACTCACCCCCTGGCACATCTGGTTGGGCCATTCCCATTAGTGTGGCCTATGGGCAGGACAACCCTCACTCTGCTACATGGTGGGAGGTTTCTCTGCCAGATTCTTATGCAAGTGTGAATAATTTAATTTCCTGTTGTACTAACTTTGATTTTTCTCCACGTGTATATATAAAAAGCATGTAACAGGTTGCTTTTACTGCTGTCTTTGGAGGACCAAAGCTTCTCTGGTGGGGGGAGTGTGTAGCAGGCTCCTTGTACAAGAGGGTTCAGAAGGAATCACATGTTCAGCAGTCAGTCCTTCCTCTCTCTCCCCTATTTGTAAAACCTGGGCAATTCTGCCAAGTTTATGACTCATCCACTACACAGAAAAGAACGCTGGGAAGGGAGGGAAGCAGGAAGTGAAGGGGAGAACAGAGAGACACAAGGCTGGAGAAAAGACAGGACATGTGGAGCCGTCCAAGCAGAGGAGGAGCACTACAGCACTCAGCGCGGATAGAGGAACCCTGCTGTGTGTTCAGAGTCTGGTGAGCTGTCCCCCTGGAGAGAGTAAGACACACCATTTACACTTTGCATATAGACTGGGACATCCACACCCCACTGCTGGGATCTCACACATCCAGGGCCCTGTGCAAGCCACAGATCCCTCTGCCTGCTTTGCCCCTCACCACCAGTGTAATTGAGACTGTCTGCCCCGGGGATTGACACATACTGGGAGATTGCATCCTGCGACTGCCCCTGGTCTTGGGGTGCTTTGTTTTTGCGTTTAGACACTGAGGTTGGACCCTCTCAGCCCAGAAACCTAGTGAAATCGGATGTAACCCACACCAGCTGAGACTCCAAAGAAGCCTTCAGCTGCTATTTACTTCATTGTAAGGACTAAACGTGCACCAACTAGAGCTCCACCATTACAAGGACTGAAGTGGGGGAATCTGGCTTAGTAGCTTTATTAGAGGTACCTCTTTATTGCATTCTGTTCTGACTCTGAGAGGTGATTTTTGGCTAACGCCCCTCAGAAGCAGAATCATACACCGGTGTGGGTAATACATTTCATTGATAGAGTATAAGTAAGTTTATTTGTTTGATATCAGTTGTATTCTGCTTAAAGTGCAACTCTGCCATCTGGAGACTCTTGGCTGTGAAGCCCTCTAGTGGCAGACCAAATTTACTGCATTGCATAAATGAAGAAAAGTAAGTTTTGAAGTTGAAAGGGGAACCCCCCCCTCTACACTGCATTTCATTCTCCATAAAAATTGTTCTTGTTTCATTTAACCCTGTGTCAGCAAATTTCTTGGCGGGGTATTTGCTATTCATTACCAGTTGTGCCAGAGGGATTGGTTTGCTTAGGGTTGGATCTATTGAGCGCAGGACCCATAATATATTCCAGCTTGTCCCAAGGGGCAGTGCTACA